TCTTCTTGCGAAGAGGAGCAGGCTCTTGAATAAGGCCGTACCCTCTGCCGAGGAGTCCGCCCCGTTACCGAACTCCTTTAGATGGCCCGGCTTGTTGATCCCTCCGGACGAAGACCCCAGAAAGGGTTTTTTAGATTAGCGTCCATGCAATTCCCACGAGTAGTACGGAAATGCGATCTCACCCCGACAGAGCCGCTTTCCTAGGGCTTGGCTGTCAGTCCTTTCCCGAAGGAAAGAGACCACCGCTGAGAAATCGCCCGGTATCCGAGGGGACCGTTATCGACACTACCTTTTTCCTACTAAGGACCTCCAGCTCAATTTTAATTTCCTCTTCCACATTGCGACAAGCTACATGAAGGGGCCGAAATCTGGATAATGGGATGGAGTTCTGGTGTGGCATTTGGATACAGAAATCCCTTCTAAATGAAGGCGTACTCTCAACCTGAGACAAGTTATTGGCAATGAGCTGCATCGGCTTCCTAGATTGATACTCATCTGAACAATTAATAATTCCGAGTTTCATGTACTCTCCGACAAGTGCGTAGTGGCCCTAGAGTGTTAATTTTGAGATCTCCATGGAGATGACTTTTTTAGCGCATTTTTTAAGAATGAAGAAAATGTGCTATTGTTCGCGTTTTGTTCGTCCGTCCGTCCGTCCGGGCCCTCTTCTACCGTTTTGAACTACTTCTAGGGGAATGGTCCTAGAGTCCTGGAATTTTTTGCAGTAGGTAGCCTACGCCTTGAAGGTGTGCAGACGGCCATCAAATTTCGCTGTCTAAAAGGGTCCCACCCCCACGAATTATTGATGAGATACTGTTTTTGAAAGTAAAACGTGCATAGCTTATACATACATACGACAACCAATTGGTCTCAAATTTTGCATACGCATGCCTTTAGTGGTGTTAAGTTAAACTTTAGGAAATGAGGAGGGGGTGTAAACACATGTTCTACCCTTTATGGGGGGGGGGGTGGAACTAGTGTTATCCTTCATGGTACTCTAATGAAAGGTCTCAACGAAAGGAATTAATTTCTACCAACCATAACCGTCCTCCTCGACCTCTTATCGTGATCGAATATATTCCCTTATACCTCAAGAACGGATTGTTGGAAGAGGGTACACACAAAGGGCGATTGAGACATCTGCAAGAAATATATCCATTGTGATGTCAAAACAAGTTATTTCGATTAAAAAAATGCGCTTTATCTGCACAAGAGTTGTGTATCCGGGAACCTTCCAATCCTCTTAGCACCTCACTTCAGAATCTTCTTAGAACCTTCCAATTTCCAAATTATTTTACGCTCTGAGAATGTTCTTACTATTGTTTTAGAGTCTTCTTTTAGATTATAGAAGAATTATCTTAAAATTTCTATGGAACAATTGGAAACTTTTGAGAACCATCGTAAGGGGGACTTTCGGACTATTCTTACAACCTGCCTAGAGCCATCTTGTAATCTTTTTGGAAACACAAGCTTCTGAGTCTCCACAAATTTTCCTACTACCTTTTTAGATCCCTTAGAATGTTAGAAATTTAAGAACCCTCGGAACCTCTTGAAACATTAGTACCTATCTTGGGAATCTTTTAGGACAATAAGCAAAACTTTCCAAAAATCCTAGAATTTCATGATGTCCTTGAATCTTTTAGTATTCTCGTAAAGTCTTCTTACCATACGATCACTTGACAGTCCAGAATATTCTCTGAATTTCGTAAAACTCTTAGACTCTTGTCAGAATTGTGTTAGATCCTAAGCTGGTTTTACAACAATTGTTTTGAATCTTTACAAGATTTTCTTGTGATCGTTTTAAAATTGTGTAGCTTCCCCCTAGAATATTCACCTAAATTAAAAATAATCTTTTTAGAACCTTTTGTAGAATATGTATGTAATCTTCTTAAAATCCTGTTACAAGCGGCCTAAGCGGAAAAGTGTAGGCGTTTGTTAAGGTTGCTTTATAAGCAAAAACAAATTCACTGTAGAAGATCTGGGACCCTATATTGTTTCTAGTGAAAATTGAAAAACACGTTTCTGAGTTTTAAGGATTTTTCTAAGAAGTTGTTGAAAAATGAGACTATAATGGTTTAAATCAAACCTAGTAGGCGCGGGTGGTTCCTTTCAGTCTTAGAGCGAGAATAATCTGATCTTGAAAAACTTTGTCCAAATTTTTAATGATCATGAGATAGTATTTGTAACAGCTTTATTTTGGCCTCTAAAATGTTTTGGGTTGAGTATCACTCTAATTTTTGTTCGAGGACCACTGTAATGTCTAAATTGTACTGTATTTCGTCGTGGCGGGTTATGACTGGCGGGTTCTTAGAGACGTCGGTTGACTGGTCTCCGCTCCATTACCTTTCTTGTGGCGATTTTCATGAGCTAAAAAGAGAGGTGTACTTGCAATAGTTTGAAGTATAAGTATTGATTCTAGATTGTTTTGGATTCGAGTTGAGCACTTTTCTCCAATTTTTGGAGGCTATAAATTGAGATGACGGATGCAGACGTAAGTAGCCGCCATTTGCTTAATCACTTTGTTATCCTATGTAGGTTCTTAATCAGTCGAAGGTTGAAACAATTTACTTTTCAACCGTTGCCATAGTGTGGCGCAGTTCAGTTGAAATTGGACTGTGGTGCTAAGAGTCCCTGGTTCGAATCCGGGTTCGGCCATGCACATTTGTAAATGTATAGTGGGTTGGGGTGGTAGAGCAGCCGTGGCTGAAACCCTGCCCGCTGAAAAATAAAGGCAAATAAATAAATAAGTAAGTAACTAAATAAGTGTTTTCCATACCTCCTTCTTATTTATTACAGGTATGTTCATTTTTGTGTTCAAAGGAAGGGTTGTTACATTTTGATTATTTTTAGGATCCAAGTTTTGGATTTCTAGTATTCGGACTTCAAGTGTCGTATTTTAATTGTAATTATCTACTCTAATTACAAATTTCATAAACATCCTGATCTGCAAGACGCCTGAATTTTTTTGTGGAATTCGAGAATGCAAGGTCAATTTGTAATCTGGGCTAACCTGTTATAACAGCGCTTAAAATGAAGATATTCCATTCCAGGGCACGTCCGGCCTCCGCCATAAAAAACACAAACACACACAAAATAGAACATTTACAGATGAAACAAATTTATTAGACAAAATTAGTCAATAAGATGAAAAAAGAGGGGCACACAGGGCTAATAAACAGAGTACCACGCACACGCGGTCGATTGAAACAATAAATTAAAAGAAACTTAATTACCTTATCGTGTTAATAATCCAACATATCTCGTCAATTGCGATTGTCCTTAACTGATGTACAAACACACAAAAACCAACTGATATTGCTTCTAGAACGCCACCGTTTTACTTTAATCCCACTGGAATCTCGATTTAGATAATACTGGGCTTGTTTGAGTTACTGATGATGGAAAAACTTCTTTTAAGGGGCACTGAGAAGCGAAAACACTTCAGCTCGACTCGAATTGACGTTTACATTTAAATGAAGGTGTAGGATCCCTTCAAACAATTCTCTATCTTTCTTCTACAATAACTGTGCAACTAGTAAGACGGCTGTCTCGCTCAACTACCGCTGACTGCGATACTCAAAAAAAATTTCACCACCAAAACAAGCAACGATTAACGTCCACCACCAAACGGGTCACGATTCATATCCGTCTCTTCTATTTAAAACAATTTCCCTTCGTATTCGACTTTCCGAACCATCTCATCTTTCTTATCAAAATTACTGGGTCGTACCTGTTCTTATCCGCGAAACCCCTCTTATCTGCAAACTTAATTATCTCACGCAGCGATAACAGAATTTCTTATCACACCGACCGGACATAATACTCTTACAAACGAATAAACTAAGTTATTTCTTTACAATTAGGTAAACAAAATGCAAGTGATTATTTAATCAAAATTAACAAAATTTCATAATTCTTAATGCATGTGAGGTGTAAAGTATAAGTACCAAGTGGCACCATTATGCGTATTTTATTTTATTTTACGGTACGTCCACGCTGAAATTCTGAATACCGGCGGCAATCTGGTGCCATTGATGTGCTTCGTCCCCAAAAGAGAAATTTCTTCTGAAACCCCAATTTTTGCGAGATAATTTTCTTAAAGTTGTAGAAAATGTTGGCTCAATTTTTCCTAAAGAAATCTAATTTTTCAAATGACTATCAAATGTTTACTCGTGTGACTACTTTGATCAAATCTCCATCATGAAAGGTAAACCTACCATCCCAGTATGAAAGGTAAACCTACCATCGAGATTAGGGGCCCATTTGTTATGAAGAAATATTTATCTGGGCGCCACGTAATTAAATGATTAGGTGGCTGCGGATGTGCGAAATTATCCCTGAATGGAATATTTCTATTCAATCTCAGAAAAGGTTCACAGGAACGGCGAGAGTATACGGATTACGATTTAACCGAAAATAATTTCATACCCCCAACACTAAATAAAGAAAAGCCCCTTTCGTAACCTCATCCGAGCTCGATAAGAATTAATTATATTTATTAAACGTCTGCATTTAAAGGGCCGAGCCTCCTAGTTGTGAAACGAGTTCTATTTCATCTCGCGAGATATATAATCATAGGCGAACTAAACAAAGGCAAATCGGAAACTGCACGAATCCGAGAGCGTCCAGAAGAGACGTGGTCTACTACTAGATTATTAATGTCATCCACAACCGGTCCGAACACAACGTTATAAAGGAAATTACAAGGAAAGGGTTAAGAACACAATACTTGCGGCGAAAATTTATTCTTATGACTTATCTGCCCTGCACGTTCGCCCTTAAAAGGTAATTCCTAGTCTTGAAACGGGTTCCGCGCACCCTTTTCCCACGACGGTACGCCAACGGATCTATCCCACTAAAAGATTACTGCTTCGCTTCGTCTAGGAGAAAAGGGCGATGTTAATTGCTAGCGACCTACACGCGTTAGGGAATAGAATAACGTTTTGCCGCCGAATCAAGGATTTTTCGGTTGTAAATTATCCTAGTTTAACAGAGTAACGCCAGGATTTCCAGGTACGGGTTTGTCCCACATGCCGAGATAACAATACTCTTATCGCAATATGCTCCGTGCTTAAAATGGCATTGTGCTTTTAACATTATGCGAGACGACATAATTACTAATTGAAAATGATGAGTGCACGCGTAAGTAGAGATTTAAATTTAATTACCTGCAACCAGTTTGTAAACAAAATTGACGTGTACTAACAACAATAAACACGCGAGCTGTAGGGGTCCCGTACGAGGATACAAAGTAGCGAGGGTTGATAAATGGCTGTTGACCCTTTTTTTGTGTATGCACCCGAATTAGGTGACACGTGTCCCGTTGCGGCCAATTGATTCGTTGTTATCTTCGAATTGCAGGTGAACAAGGAAAGGTTCTATGACCGATTTATTCCCCGTCGCACCTGTGTCGATGTCGAGGTTCTCAATTACATGCTTTTGAAGGATACTAGTACGGCATCTAGCACCGAGTCCGACACGAACAACGAAAGCAGAAGATTTGCGAACAAGGCGTACCTGAAATGGCAAAAAAGACTGTTTCAGGAGAGGTTGTGGTCGTACAGTCCGATTCCGAAGAAGGTGCTCACATTTTCGCAAACGTGGAAGGCGTCCAAGAAGTCCAGCCCTTTCTCAAATCTCTGGTCGGTTCGTGCGAGGACCAAGCCACTAATCGGTCCACCTATAACCGTACTTGATATGCCGAACTTGGTAGGAGGCATATGTGAGTATGAGCATTTTATTCAAAACGTTACAGCAGTGCCACTGAATAGGGAATTATTGTGGGGCCAAAAGTGTCAGAAATTTGCAGTAGAACACCAGTACGTCTATGTCGTAAAAAAATCTGTATTATAAAACTAGTGCGTCCGCAAGCTACGTCTGCTCGTCTTGCGGGCAAAAACTATTATGTATAAAACTAATTACTGGAGGAGCGGCTTATACTTATATGATACGTGTACCTAAAATAATATGCTGGGTGTTCCTAAATATTATGTAAATACGAAAGTGGCTAATTTGTTAATTCTTTGGCTTATTTTATGACTAAAAGTTCATATAAACATTGATCCGCAAACGTTTCGTTACCGATCTACAGGGTGTTATAATTTCACCTTAAAGTTTATAAACATATGCAAACACAAGATACAATTACAAATGCCAACTGTCATGACAAATGGAAACAATACTATCGAAATAAAGCCAGGGCATACTGGACCATTTTAAAAATGTTTCTTTCATTTAGCCAACTACCAGAAATTGATTTTTTTTTCTCGATGGCAAATACGAAAAAATTACAAGCAACCAAACAGTTTCCAAAAAAGTCAGAAAATGAAATGTTTATTTTACAATTTACCAGTGACGCACCAAAACAAAGTTCAGGGGCAGAAAATGGAACATGACCCCTAAAAATACAACACCCTGTAGCTTTTCACTACCATTGACCTTCAGCCCTTCAGTGTAACTTATATTTCAAATTTGATCAAAATATCTCAAACATCGCAGGAGATATCAACAAAAAATTTAAAAAAACCTTGAAATCTTAACACCCTGTATATCGGTAACGAGACGTTAGGGGGCCTTATGTAAACTTTTAGTCATTAAATAAGCGAAATAATTAGCCTCTTTCGTATTTATTAGGGAATGCAATAACGTAATCGCGTGATCTCGAAATATCTGGATCCTGCAGCATTTTTGCGAGATTAATCCCGTAAACAAATTGAGCGGGATCCCGCGGGATTTGCGGGGTTGCAAAATTTATCGGCCAAGCTTAATACCACGACGTTGTTTAAAATTTATTAATAAAACGCGTAACGGAGAAGTGCAGATACATACAGGTCGTCCGTAAATCGTAGGGATGTTTGGCTTTTCGGTTTTCCATACCTCCATATTTAAAAAGTTCAAATATTTTAGTGACCAAAGAGACCTGTCGAAAAAATTTTAAATAAAAGTTGCAAGATTCAAGATTTCAAAATGGCGGTTTTTAAGATATTGAGATCAACTTCCTTATTTTAAATGGACACCATATTTAATTTCTACGTCACTAGATAGAGAATAAAATTACAAAACCAGTGGTACTAAACACTCAGTATTTCATTTGGGGATCAACCTTGCATTTTTGTCTTGAAGTTTACAATGTATTTCTTATGGTCGTCTCGATAGTGACTAAGCGAGACAATAAACGAATGAATTTGGTTTCAATCACAATCAGCCATGGAATTCTTCTCACAAGAAATGCGATTGTAAACTTCAAGGCAAAAATGCAAGGTTGACTCCCAAATGAAATACTGAGTGTTTAGGATCACTGGTTTTGTAATTTTTTTCTCAATCTAGTGACGTACAAATCCAATATGGCGTCCATTAAGAAGTTGATGTCAATATCTCGAAAACCACCATTTTGAAATTTTTTTTCTACATCCATTGAATTTATCCGATCGAATTTTGCAACTTTTATTTGAAACTTTCTCCGATAGATCTCTTTTAAAAATGGCGACTTTCACGTTTTTTCCAATTACCTATCTACGAAACGAATTATTCTTTCAAAATATCGCGTCGGAATATCCACCAGCATCAAAAACTGCACAACTTTGCCAATTTAACCGAATCTGTAAGTATAACAATAACAGAGATAACCATCCTACTCAATTTAAAACACCCTGTATACTCGATTGTTTATAAAAATTTTAGTAGTACAGTATGGCTGTATTAATTGTAGTGAATATTCTAGAAATCCAGATAAACATGGAGGCCGAAAGCGGATGTGACGCATCCTTTCTGGGAAATACGATATGTTTTGTTCGAGAATACCTATTCGTTTAATCCGCACAAAATTGCATATTTCCCAATACATTTAAAATGTTGCGGAATCCCGCAAATACCGGGATCCCGCGGGATTAACATAAACGATCCCGCAAATACCGGAATCGAAATTTTGCCGCGGGATTGCATTCCCGAGTATTTATATTAAATGTAGGAACACCCTGTACAAAATTATATGCATCTTCTTGGTATCAAATTCACTAGCAATACCACATAGTCCTCCATGTGATATCAAAATGAGGAACATTTTTGCGAAACCTTGTTTAAAAGTCCATGGTGTGAATCCTACGGGGGTCCACAGATTTGCGCCCCTATCTTAATTTGTAACGCATTTTCCAAAGAAATTGGGTGCGCTATTGCAGCCACTTTCTCTGTCCGCCCGTCCGACCTTCTACAATTTCCAGTATATTTAGTTCGTTCTTTTTTAATTCGGTACCTTGTAGCTCTGGAAAATGAGCCAGGAAAAATCTTGACGATTAATAGATGCGTGCGCCAACTGCGCTCAACTTTCCTATTTATTAGCATGTTTTTTTGAAATTTTAACCACAGATGCTAATCAGGCATGCGCTACCTGCAGAATCTGAACTCTACTCTTATAGATATTTTTTTGAAATTGTAATCACAGAAGCCATCAGCAAAAGCAAAAATATCGCATACTGCAAAAATCAGATGTGCGCATGCGCAGACTGCGCAATACCAACTTTATTACTTAAACAGATATTTTAATTATAGATGATTCTAGTAAAGGCGAACATATCGCATATTGTAAACATGAAGTGTGCGCGATGCGCGTGCGCAGACTTATTTATAGATATTATTTTGAAACAAAGAGTTACCCATATGATTACCTTTAAAGTATGACCATTGGATCCCCCTTTGTAGGGGGGTTCTGTACAAGCATACCCTCCCTTGCCACCTTTTCTTCTAAAGATTGGTACGACGATTTTTATTTTTAACTGAGAATTCCATACCTCCAGTCTCCGGCAGATTTTAAAGAAGGCCATTAAATCTCCCTCTTTTTGCCGGGGGATATTCTATACCCCCTAACCCCCGCTGCTCGAGATTTATAGAATGGTCTAGGAAAACCATTGAACCCCACTTTACTGGGGGTTCCTGGGGAACGTGCAGAATCTTCAGTTCTACCATAATATCCACATCCGCCAGGAGGAATACCTTTCCATCAAAAGAAAATTCGTCCTCGTTTGAAAATGTTCACATTCTGCTGAGATTTTTTTTCTCCCCTTTTTGGATGTGGGTATTTCATACAACTCAGCCGACCGGAAGTACATTTTCAACAAAAACGTTTATAATCTTCAATTATTTCATGATAGTTTTTTAAGAAGGATCACAGATTTTTCCTTTTTTTGTGGAGGTATTCTATATCCCCCAGTCGTCTGTGTCTGTGTGTTTCTTGTAATGTATTGAATACTTCCCAATACTTCCAAGAAAGGCTGATTCAGTGGTTGTGACACGAAGAATACCATAACTCTGGCAAGACAGACCGCGGTGCTAAATTTTCCTTCAAAACTTCACTTTTATAATAATAATCCTTTAATGAAAATTTATTCTTTTTTGAGAGGATACATACTCCTGCTCAGTAATAGTCCAGGCGCTAATATAGGTATTGAGCATGCACTGGAAGTCTAACGCAGTTTGACTTTTGATTATTGTTGGGGGCATATAGTAGATGAAAAATATCGATGTCGTCGCATTTCCGCGATGGGCATAACATGAGGGGGAGGGGGCAAAGTCGCGCGCGTGGCGATTCACTTTATCGCTTCTAACTCAAAGACGGTAATAGTTAGAGCAATACTTGAAGCGGCTATTTACAGCTACTTATATTGGCTACAAAAAATGTCCTAAGGATAAAAGTTGTACTTCTAATCGTTTCGTTACAAATAAATTATTTCGGAATAGGTATATCCAAATCCACTGAAAATCATATTTGCCACATATTTCTTGAATCTGTAAGACAATGTTAATAATGTCGTTTATATGTTATAAGAGTAATTATAAAATTGTCGTATAGAGACTATAAAAATTTTGACACCGAACAATTTCATATCGATGCAAGTCATATAAACTGGCTAGCAATAGACAATATTGGGGACTTAAATAGCAGAGTAGATTACCTAAACACAGCTATTATTACTCTATTCAATAACAATGCTCCAATTCGCACCATAAAACTCAGTCGCAACTTTAAACCTTGTATAACATATAATTTAAAACAAATCCTTACTTTAAAGAAAAAAGTATATAATAAATATATAAAATTAAAGACCCCATCCAACAGACAATACTATGTTCAATTACGCAACTTCGCTAAAACTGCAGTTAATAATGAGAGGAGGGCGTATATGAAATTTGTGTTAAAACAGAGTGAGGGGAATCAAAAGATGCTGTGGAACAATCTAAAAAGCTGGGGAGTATCTACTAAAAAAGTTAAACATTCTTTGCCACAACATTTGCGCGAACCACACAAAATAAATAATTTTTTCCTCAAATCGGCAGGTAACACAAGCATAGACTTAAACGAGGTGACATACTTCAAAAACAATAAATTAAGTGGTAAAACATTTTCTTTAAAGGAAGTTAATGATAACGATATATTTTCCGCGCTATCACAAATAAAATCGCAATCACGGTCATGATGGATTGAATATAAAGATGATTAACTTAATTTTACCTTACTGTCTGACTCTCGTAAGAAATATTTTAAATGATTCTATTAAACGAGGCACAATGCCCGATTGTTGGAAAATGGCGGATATTATTCCATTACCTAAATGTAA